TTTAAAAAGCAAGTTACAAAATATGTATATTTAACATATACTTAGGTATATGTGTTGCAAATACACACTCTGCAACTTTTTAAAATATAAGTATTTCTTGGACTGCCATGTTTTTCATGTGACCAGGAAACCAGGATTTGGTATATTCAACCAACTCTAAAATATATATACACACATACCTACATACCCTACACACTAAATATATTTGTATTTATATGTACATATACTGGATTTAATATGCAGCCATGCCTTCGTACTCCCAGGGGGTATGCTTAAGGACTCCCTACTGACATCAAAATCCTCAGATGCTCAAGTCTCTTATATAAAATGGCACAGTATTTGCACATAACCTATGCACATCCTCCCATATACTTCATCTCTAAATTATCTACAATGCCTAATGTAAATGTTACATAATAGTTGTTTTGTAGTATTATGTATAGAATAATGGCAAGAAAAAAATCTGTACATGCTGGGTACAGATGCAACTATCATGGGCCCAACTACATTTTTGATCCACAGTTGGTGGAATTCATAGCTATGGATGCCAGGGATACTCTACAGAGTCAACTTTATATAGGGTGTGTGTACATGCATTTTAGGGTTCATTAAGTATTATAGAAGGTCTAAAAAAGATACACATCAAATTGCTAATAACTATTAGCTACTGTTAGGGGTTGTCAAATGGGCTTATTTTATGTATTTTTGTGTTAGTTAAAATGTTTATAATGATATTAGTTAGGTACTGGGTGACTTTTTTTTTAATTCATGGAAAATTAAATAAGACCAAAATGGGCATGCTGATTCTATATTAGCATACTAAAATATAATTTGCCGGTAAGCAGGGATATACATTTTAACATAAAATTAGGTCAAATAAGAAAAAAAAAACTTATGGAAAAGAACTCAGTGCCCTAATTTCAGCCTGTCACTTTTAGGCTGAAAACCATTCAGTGAGAGTTTCTGAAAAGCAGGAAGGAGGCAGATCTCTGTTCTATGTACCTAACAAAGGAATGACATCTTCAAGAGTACCCCCAGATTCACAGGGACTGGGCTTCTTGTCTGCGGCCTTTCCCAAAGAACCAAGATGCAGAAGAAAAACTACAGACTCTGGGTCCACTCTACTTCACTGAGCCCCAACCTGCTCCAGTGACACCCCTACCAGGGCCCTCTGCTTTTATGGAGGCATCTGTCCAGCTCACCTTCCTTCTGTGTTCTCTTAAGAAATGAAAAAGTTTACAGAATAAAATAACAAAATAATGCAGCAAAATGTAGGAAATATACGTGTATCCAGCACAACTTATTAAAATCTTTGGTAATGAAGCCAGATAGTGGCATGTGCCTGTAATCCTAGCTACTTAGGAGGCTAAGAAGGAAGGATCACTTGAGCCCAGGAGTCAAGACCAGCCTGGGCAACATATAGAGATGCCATCTTTTTTTTTTTTTTTTTTTTTTGAGACAGAGTCACAGTACCTCAAACTCTTGGGCTCTAGCAATACTCCTGACTCAGCCTCCCAAGTAGCTGGGTCTACAGGCGCCTGCCACAAGGCCCAGCTACTTTAGAGACAAAGGTCTCGCTCTGGCTGAGGCTGATCTTGAACTTGTGAGCTCAGGCAATCCACCCACCTCGGCCTCCCAAGTGCTAGGATTATACGTGAGCCCCCCACACCCAGCCTAGAGAGACGCCATCTTATAAGAAAAATACACCACAAACTTTGGCAAAAATATCAAGAATTTATACCACAATACAGTCTGTACATCCAGACATCACTCCACCAGTAATCAAGGGACAGTGACAATCACTTTATACAGAAGGAAAGAAAGAAAAAAAAAATCACAATATGGAAAAATGGACATTTTTAAGAAGTAAATTTTAAATTTAAGGTTGTCACAAATCTTAATTAAAAAAAGAAGAGGGCTATAAAATATCATAAAATATATTTTAAGGAAATTATTGCATACTTGGTACATACAACAAATCCAAATGATAATATCCAGCATTAGACAGGATGCAGGAATGGGCACACCACACACTGCTGGATGCAATAAAAACAGGGGACCTAACTAGGGATCAGTTTGCCCTCGTTTATAAGATGCATTTCAGTCTAGTAGTTCTATTCTTTGTAAATATACAAAGAAAAGAATAATTTTTACAAGATGTGAAAGATAAAGAAAACCCAAATACTCATCAATATTAATTTAAGGATAATAACACTATGAAAAAAATGCACAGCTATAGAAAATGACAAATAAGTAAACTACAGGTAACAAGGTAGAGTAAGAAAAGCACAACCCACAATATATATACTATTTATAGACCTGTAAAAAAGGCAGGTTAGTGAAATTCATTATAGCTAGCAAAAGTCATGATGCTCATGTTTTAGAAATGGTAACATAATAGTGACATGTAACAGAGAAAAGCTAATAACAGAAGATAATGTACCTGACCCTATGTAAAAGTTCCTTATCTACAAGTTCTTCTGTCCACAAAAATATCGAGAGATGTAGTCACCAAAATATACATAAAAAGTCTTTCAGAAAGATGTGATTCAGGGATGCTTTTTTACAAGTAAACATTATTTTCATTTTAAGAAAGGAAAAAAAGCAGACATGTGTAATAGTGAAGATCAGAAGAGAATTTTCTGAGTTTTCAGTGCTCTCTCTCTCTCACTCACACACACACAACCCTAAAATCACCAAACCACCACACTGAGAGTCTATTTATGAGAATTTGGTGCCACCAATGGCAGGTCCTACTTACCCTTCCTCATCAGCTCAGGTTTTATGTCACTCAAGACATACCAAAAATCAAAGGCCCCACAAAACGGGTTCCTCCCATGATTCTAGCACAGGGTTGCAAACTTTTTCTGCACTGGGTCAGGTAATAAACATTTTAGGCTTTATAGATGATCTGCTCACTACTACTCAACTCTGTCATTGCACCTCGAAAGTAGCTATGAACAATACTTGAACAAATGAGTGTTGCTATGTTCCAATAAAAATTTATGAGTGATGACACTGAATTTCACATTTGTCACGTTGCTAAATGTTCTTTGAAAACAATTTTCCAACCATTTAAAAACGTAAAAGCCAAAAATAGTTTGTTAGTTCCTCCAAAAGTTACAGAGCTATCATATGCCCCATTCCTAGGTTCCAAGAGAACTGAAAACAAATACACAACAATTTATACATGAATGTTCACAACAGCATTATTCATACTATCCCCAAAGGGAAAATGCCTTCATCTATTTTCTGTTGCTTATAACAGAATACCCCAAACTGACTAACTGATAAAGAAAAGTATTTATTTCTTATAGTTCTGGAGGCTGAAAAGTTCAAAGTTGAGGGGCTGCATCTTATGAGGGCTTTTATGCAGGTAAGGATTCTGCGCAGAGTCCCAGGCAGCACAGAGCACCACACAGCAAAGGTAGCTGAGCATGCTAGCGCAGGTCTCCTTTCTTCTTCTTATAAAGGCATTAGCCCCACTTCCATGATAACTCATTAATTCATGAAAGGTGATTCAATTCATGAAGGCAGAAGCCCCATGACCCAATCACCTCTTTAAAGGTCCCACCTCTCAATACTGCCACATTGGGGATTAAATTTCACCATGAGTTTTGGAGGGGACAAATTTTCAAACCATATCAGGAAACAATCCAATGTCCATCAACTAATAAATGGATAAACAAAATGTTATATGTCCATATAAAAGAATTTATTCTGGAATAAAAAGGAATTAAGATCTAATACGTGCTACAACATGGTTGAATTTTGAAAAAATTATATGAAGTGAAAGAAGCCAGACACGGAAGGCCACACACATTGTGTAAGCTTCCATTTATATGTCGTGTCCAGAATAAGCAAATCAATAGAGACAGAAGCAGATTGGTGATGGCCAAAGTCGGGGAGAGGGAACGGGAGTAAAGATTTCTTCTGGGGTCATGAAAATGTTCTGCAATTAGACAATGGTGATGGTTGCACAATCTTGCAAACACACTAACAACAACGTGGTGTACATTTAAAAGTGATGAATTTATAGTATATAAATAGAACTCAAGTCAAAATAAAAAATGTAGAAACCACTTTTAGTTCACAGGCCATGCAAAACAGACTACAGGATGGATTTGTCTGGGAGCTAGAGTTTACCAACCTTGTTCTAGCTTCTAACAGATAAGAAGGGTTGGAGTTTCACACACAGACACACGCCCCACCAATTAGAACACAGCCAAAGGTTATATTGTTAATATTATACAATATCATTTACTTATAAATAATATTACAAGTAAAAACATTTAAAAAGGCAATAAAAGTAAAATTATCACTTTGCAAATTTATAAAATTATATTGAGGAACTGCCAAACTGTTTTTGGGTTTTATAAGCTGAGCCAGGACTGAAAAAATTATTTGATGATACATAGATAAAGGTATTAAAAATGGAAAGACAAAAAGGTTTGGGGGGGGGTTGGTGTGGTGTGTATGTGTGTTTTTTGTTTTTTTGTTTTTTTTTTTGAGAGTCTCATTATGTTGCCCTTGGTAGAGTGCCTTGGCATCACAGCTCATAGCAACCTCAAACTCTTGGGTTCAAGCGATTCTCTTACTTTAGCCTCCCAAGTACCTGGAACTACAGAAACCTGCAGAAACTACAAGGCTCAGCTATTTTTTTGTTGTTGTCGTTGTTTAGCAGGGCCAGGCTGGATTTGACCCACCAGCCCCAGTATGTGGCTGGTGCCCTAACCACTGAGCTATGGGCACTGAGCCAGACATAGCGCTTTATTTAATTTATGCTCACTGCCTCTAAACTCCATGAAATTAGTCTTCTGAATGTAGAAAAAATTCAAGAGAGAGAAGGAAAAAGTGCGTGGTTTATATAAACTTACATACATATAAACTTATATGTTATTCAAAAGTACAACTTTTAAGTTCCAGTCCCACTGTGTCATGCCAAAATGCTTTTAAAATTATATTAAGCTAATTTAGAAATGTATTTAATGACACATTACCTGGAGGCACTAGCTGTACTAATTCAAACCTAGTTAGGAAGCCTAAAAAGAAAAAAAGAGAGAGATTTAACACTTAAAAAACATTGCCACGCCTTTTCAGTAATTGCTAAGTTTAAAACACTCCTGATATCCATTTACATTCATATTAATAACGAAAAATAAGTGCCATGCTAACAAAAAAGGTGTTTCTAGAATTAGTCAACTGAGAGAATGGAGTAACTGAGTTACAGAGATAGCATTGCACCTCCTGCAAAGTATTGGCAAAACAATATTGTTATCTCTGAAAAATATTGTAAAAAAATAGTATTTTTATCTCTTAAAGTGTATTATAGTGTAGCACTAAAATAATGATGCACTTTTCATCTTAAAAATTCAAAATCCAATTGTTTTCCATGAACATATAAAAGTTTATCTTGCTTAAAACAGTGACGAGACTATACAAATTAGACCTAAAATGTAACTTTTTAAATGTTTCTTGTGTTCAGAATATACTTAGAAACAGTGAGCCCATGCACAAGGTAAGGACAAGAAGAAAATTTAAATCTTAAAGATAACTTAAAACAAATTATACAAATAAAAAATCAGTAAAGATAATTCCCACAAAATATTTCAAGTAAAAACATTTAAAAGTAGACAATAAAAGTAAAATTCTCATTTTGTAAATTTATAAAAAAATATATATGAATGCACAGGACAAAACTTTGAAGGCTGAGAAACTTAAAAGCCAAAAAATGCCTAAAATTTTAGGTTTTCAAAGTGGTAAAGGGAAATACACTTGCCAACCATCACACCAATGGTAATACTAAGTACATAATTGGTTTCAGGCTCTAAATTCCTTACATTCAAGCAATTCTCCTCACAACCCTGTGAGTCCAGTATAATGGCTATCCTAATTTTTATGAATGAGGCAACTAAATCCAAAAAAGAAATATACACATGCTTTAACAGTGACATTGAAGGAGCCTGCTACCAGGGCCTGTGCTCTTGTGCACAGGATAGTTCATTGAAAAAATCACATTCTTCCACAGAACAAGTTAATTAGGATGCTTCATAAAACACCTACAGCTTTTAATTGCCTGCTAGAATAGCATTACACACTCCATACTTGCTTTAAATATCAAGGACAGAGCAAATCACGAATAAGTGACCTAGAGAACTATTCTTATGTTCTTTTATCCTTCAGACCACCAACCGGGCTTGATATGTTGGAACTGAAATGAAAGATCCTAATTCTTGTACAGTCGTTTAAAATGCTGAATTTTTCTTTTGGATTTCTTTTTAATTTAGACAGGGTCTCTGTCATTAAGGCCGGAGGGGAGTGGAGTGTACTAATGTAGCTCTCTGCAGCCTCAACCTCTGCGGCTCAAGTGATCCTCTTGCTTCAGTTTCCAAAGTAGCTAGGACTACAGGTGCACACCACCACATCTCACTAATTTTTAAAATTATTTTTTTTTAGAGATGAGGGTAGGGAGGTTTCACTAACTCCTGGTCTCAAGCAATCTTCTTGTCTTGGTCTCCCAAAGTGCTGGGATTATAGGCATGAGCCACCATACAGAGTCTCTTTCACATTTAAAGAAGATTGAGAGATTCAGTGTTCTTACAAATGTGACCCATTTCAGAGAAATGGTATACCTTCCTGATTCTTAACATTCGGGTAGAAATGTTAAGTAGAATAAATCAATTTGGGCATAACATCCACTTTTTAAAAGGCCTAGTTCCAAAGATATTACTTTTCATATCTTATTGCTTTGATGTCTTCCTGAGACACACAAATTAGTCCTTCAAAAAAAATAATTGACCCTGATAATTTAGGAAACAGCTTATGTTGGAGACAGTTTACAGCTGTTCCTTCTCAGGCTTTGTTTCCTCAGTCTTCCCCCCTTGTGTTGCTTAGAGTTGTCTGTGGGCCTTTTCTGTTCACACTCCCTGGACCATTTCAGTTAATTAAAATCTACATGTTACAGACTATCCAATCTCTATCGACAGACCACATCTATATTTTTCCTGATTTTCAAAAATCTTATGTTCCTTGCTACTGGACATTTCCACTTGCATGTCCCACTAACACCCCAAACTAAACCTGTCCAAAGTTTAATTCCTCCCACAGCAACCCCTCTTCCTGAGTTTCCAGTCTTTGAATGGCATGAGCTGGAACCAGGGTCTTCTCCAGATGCTGTGAGTTTTAAGTATGCCCACATCCAGCCAAGTCCTTCAAAGTCCCACTCACTGTTTCTGACTCTTCCACTTTACCTTAACCTATAATGACTATAGATTTTCTAGTTCCTTATTATCTATCTGGTTTTCTGAGCCATTGCCTTCCTGTTCTGCCCTTGTGTTCCAGAACACCTGGTCAGTGACTATTCTTACCTGCATGTAGGCACTGACTCACACTTAGCCTAATTTCTTTTTTTTTTTTTTTTTTTTTGAGACAGAGCCTCAAGCTGTCCCCCTGGGTAAAGTACCGTGGCATTACAGCTCACAGCAACCTCCAACTCCTGGGCTCAAGCAAGTCTCCTGCCTCAGCCTCCCAAGTAGCTGGGACCACAGGTGCCCGCCACAATGCCTGGCTATTTTTTGGTTGCAGCCGTCATTGTTGTTTGGCGGGTCCAGGCTGGATTCGAACCCACCACCTTAGGTGTATGTGGCTGGCGCCTTAGCCGGTTGAGCTACAGGCACCGAGCCCACTTTGCCTAATTTCAAACTCCTTAATCCACCTGGCACGGCAGCCTGATGCCTAGGATGCTTCTCTACCCTCTATCTATCACTGCCTCAGCTCACCTGGTACCTGCTCCAGATGGTTTCTCTATATTCTGCCATCATCTGTGACCTTGGTCCTAATTCTTTCAACAGAATAAAATCTCAGTTGAAAATTTCAGAAAGCTTAAGAATATGACTAAAAATCATACCAAAAACAGACAAAAATAATCCACTAGCCTTTTGCCTCAAGACCCTGAAAAAAAAAAAAAGAGCAAACTAAACCTAAAGCAAAGGGAAGAAAACAATAAAGATTAAGCAGAAATTGGCCAGTTGAGATGGCTCACACCTGGAATCCTAACGCTCTGGGAGGACAAGGCGGGTGGATTGCTTGAACTCAGGAGTTTCAGACCAGCCTGAACAAGAGCTGTCTCTACTGCATATAGGAAAGTCCCCAAGGTTCAAGCAACTAAGGCACCAGCCACATACACCAGAGGTGGCGTGTTCAAATCCAGCCCAGGCCTGCCAAACAGCAATGACAACTACAACCAAAAAACAGCCGGGAGTTGTGGCAGGTGCCTGTAGAGCCAGCTACTTGGGAGGCTGATGCAAGAGAATCATTTAAGCCCAAGAATTGGAGGTTGCTGTGAGCTGTGATGCCACAGCACTCTACCCAGGGCAACAGAAAAGAAAAGAAAAGGTACCCAAACATTGTGGCAGGTGCCTGTAGTCCCAGCTACCTGGGAAGCTGAGGCATGAGGATCGCTTCAGCCCAGGAGTTTGATGTTTCTGTGACATATGATAACGCCACAGCATTTAAGCCCAAGACTTGGAGGTTGCTGTGAGCTGTGATGCCACTGCACTCTACCCAGGGCAACAGAAAAGAAAAGAAAAGGTACTCAAACATTGTGACAGGTGCCTGTAGTCCCAGCTACCTGGGAAGCTGAGACATGAGGATCGCTTCAGCCCAAGAGTTTGATGTTTCTGTGACATATGATAATGCCACAGCATTCAACCCCAAGGTGACAGAGTGAGACTCTTCTCAAAAAAGAAAAAAAAAAAAAAGATTAAGCAGAAATTAATGAAACAGACAAGAGAAAATCAGCTAGTTTCAGTGGCTGACACCTGAAATCCTTTGGGAAGCCAAAGTGGGAGGATCCCTTGAGCTCAGGAGTCTGAGACCAGGTTGAGAAAGAGTAAGATCTCTTATCTCTACTAAAAATTGAAAAATCAGCAGGGTGTCATTATGGATGCTATAGTCCCAGCTACTCTGGAGGCTGAGGCAGGAAGATGTGTTGAACCCAGGAGTTTGAGGTTGCTGTGAGGTAGACTGATGTGATGGCACTGGCCTGGGAAACAGAGTGAAGCTCCGTTTAAAAAAGGAAAACAATAGAGAAGAATCAATGGATCCAAAAAGTTGATTCTTTCAAAAGATAAACAAAACTGATAGGCTTAGAGAAAAGACTCAAATGACTAAAATCAGAAATGAAAGAGGGGACATTACCACTGATTTTACAGAAATGAAAAGGAAATACTATGAATGACTTTATGTCAACAAATTATCTAACTTAAATGAAATGGAAAAATTCCTAGAAAGACACAAGTACCAAACTGACTCTAGAAAAAATAGAAAATCTGAAAAGATCTTTGACAAAAAGAAAGATGAAATGAGCAATCAGAAACAACCCAAAGACAAGCCCAGGTCCAGGTGACTTTATCATCTGGATTCTATCGAATGTTTAAAAAATTATTACCAAATATTCACAAAAATCTTCCAAAAAACGGAAAAGGAGAGAACTCTTCCCAACTAATTCTATGGGGCCGGTATTACCAAAGCCAAAGATGCCAGAAGAAAACAAGAACTACAGACCAATATCTCTAATAACTACAGTCTCAAAAAACTTCTGCCCAACACGGACAAACCAAATCCAGCAGCACATAGAAAGGATTATACTCCATAATCAACTGAGAATTACCCAAGGAATGTATGGTTGGTTTAGTTAAAAACCAATTAGTATATCAATAAAATAAAGGAAAAACCTACATGATGGCTTTACTAGGCACAGAAAAAGTATGTGATAAAATTCAACATTTTTTCATGATAAAAATTCAACAATTAAAAATAGAAGGAAACTTCTTCAACCTGATATAGGACATTTATGTAAAACCAACATGTGGCATCACAATTAATGGGGAAAAAACTAATTGTTTTTCTCCCTAGCATCAGGGACAAGACAAGAATGCTCATTTTCATTGCTTCTGTTACAGTCTCTTACAGATTCTAGTCAGGGTGATTAGACAAGGAAATGAAATAAAATGCATCCAAACTGTAAAGGAAGAAGCTTCTTCTATTCACAGATGACATGAATTTATAAACAGAAAATGCTAAGGAATCAATGAAAATCCTAAAACTAATAAACAAGTTCAGCAGGTTTGCAGGATAAAATATCAGTATACTATATGCAAAATCAATTGGATTTCTATACACTGAAAATAATCAATCTGAAAATGAAAATTTTTAAAAATTCCACTTACAACAGCATCAAACAGTATAAAATAAATACAAGATTTGTATACTAAAAATTACAAAATATCATTAAAATAATCTACATAAATGGAAAAATCCCTTATTAGTGAAAAGTCCCTCATTAATGAAAGACTTAATGTTATTAAGATAGCAATACCACTCCAATATATCTACAGATTCAATACAACCCCTATCAACAACCCAGCTGGCTTCTTTGTGGAAAAGGATAAGCTGATTTTAACATTCATTTGGAAAATCAAGTGGCCCCAAATAGCAGACATATAGTTTTGAAAAAGAAGAAAGAAGTTGGAAGACTCACACTCCTTGATTTCAAAATTTTCTATAAAGCTATGGTAATCAAGATTGTGTGTTGGCAAAAAAATAGAAATATGGCTCAATGGAATAGAATTGAGGATCTAAAAATAAACCCTCTTGTCAGCTGTAAGTTGATTTCAAAAGAATGTCAAAACAATTCAATGGGAAAAAAATAGTCTTTTTACGAAATGGTGCTAAGACAACTGGATATCTATATGCAAAAGAATGAAATTGGTCCCCTACCTCCTACCATCTATAAAAATCAATACAAGTCATAGACCCAGATGTGAGGGCCAAAACTATAAAACTCTTAGAAGAAAACATAAATGTAAGCCTTCATGATCTTGAATTAAGCAATGGTTTCCTAGAGATGACATCAAAAGCCCAAGAAACAACAAAAAAATAGATAAACTGGAACTTATCAAAATTAAAAAGCTTTGTGTTTCAAAAAATACCATCAAGAAAGTGAAAGACTAGAATAGGAGAAAATATTTGCATATCTGACAATTTACTTGTACCTAGAATATATAAAGAACATTTACAACTCAATAAGAAATGACAACTCAATTAGAAAGTAGGCAAAAGATCTTAATAAACATTCCTCAAAAAAAAAAATACAAATGGCCAATAATCTCATGAAAAAGTGCTCAACACCATTAGTCATCAGAGAAATGCATATCAAAACAATGAAGAGATATTACTTCTCACCCACAGGGATGGCTACCAATCAAAAAGATAGGTAATAACAAGTGTTGGCCAGGATGTAGAAAAATGGAACCCGGCTCGGCACCTATAGCTCAACCGGCTAAGGCACCAGCCACGTACACCTAAGGTGGCGGGTTCAAATCCCCAGCCCGGACCCGCCAAACAACAATGATGGCTGCAACCAAAAAATAGCCAGGCGTTGTGGCGGGCGCCTGTGGTCCCAGCTACTTGGGAGATGGAGGCAGGAGACTCGCTTGAGCCCAGGAGTTGGAGGTTGCTGTGAGCTGTAATGCCACGGCACTCTACCCAGGGGGATAGCTTGAGGCTCTGTCTCAAAAAAAAAAAAAGAAAAATGGAACCCATATACATTGCTGGTGAGATATAAAATGATTCAGTTCCTTTGCAAAATAGTGTGAAAGTTACTTAAGAGGTTAAATATATAGTTTCCATATGAACTACAATTTCACTCCCAGGTATACAGCCAAGAGAAATTAAAACATATCTCCACAGGAAAAGTTGTACATTGATATATTCACAATATCATTATTCATCATAGCCTAAAAGTAGAAACACCCCAAATGTCCACCACAACTAATGAGTGAAAAAACAAAATATGGTCTATTCATACATTGGAATATTATTTGGCCATAAAAAGAAAATAAGTACTGGCACGTACTATAATATGGGTAAACCTTGAAAATGTGCTAAGTGAAAAAATCCCATCACAAGGGACCACAAATTGTATAATCTCATTCATACGAAATATTCAGAATAAGCAAATCTATAAAGACAGAAAGATTAGTGGTTGCCTGTGGCAGGGGAAGTTGGCAGAGAACAAGCAGTAATTGCTAATGAATATAGCAGTTTGTGAATATGCAGCCATGAAAATATTAATTGATTAAATGCCTGATTGATTGTGGTGATAGTCGTACAACCCTGTGAATATATAAAAACCACTTACTTTTTACAAATAAATAACCAAAGAGAATTATGCCATCTGGCAAATCCTATCTATATTTAAAAAAGAGTTTTTAAGAGAATAAAAAACATGATTAAAATTTTACATATGCTCTAAAACTAAACATGGATCAAACATGGAAGTATCACAGTTCAGAAAATAAAAGAATTTTCTATCTATGATTTAATATACAATAGTCTTGTATTTTTGTTCTGCATTGTTTTGGTGTTGGTTGGTTTTGGTTTGGTTTGGTTTTTTGAGAATACCTACCTTCTAAACGGTCTACTACAGCTCCAGGATCTATTGCAGTTTCAAATACCTGCAGAGGAAAATAGGAATCATAAATTTTCTTTTTTTTTTTTTTTTTTTTGTGAGGCAGGGCCTCAAGCTGTCCCCCTGGGTAGAGTGCTGTGGCATATCAGCTCACAGCAACCTCCAGCTCCTGGGCTCAAGTGAGTCTCCTGCCTCCGCCTCCCAAGTAGCTGGGACGATAGGTGCCCACCACAATGCCTGGCTACTTTTTTTTGGTTGCAGCTGTCATTGTTGTTTGGCTGGCCCGGGCTGGATTCGAACCGGCCACCTTAGGTGTATGTGGCTGGTGCCTTAGCCGCTTGAGCCACAGGCGCCAAGCCGGAATAATAAATTTTCAAGTTGTAGTAGTAAGTATTAATACTTACAGAAACTATACACCAGCACGATGGCTCATGCCTGTAACCCTAGCACTCATGAGGCCAAGGCGAGTGGATTGCTTGAGCTCAGGAGTTCCAGACCAGCCTGAGCAAAATGAGAACCCATCTTTACTAAAAACAGAAAAACTAGCTGAGGTTGGTGATGCACGCCTATAGTCCCATCTACTCAGGAGGCTGAAGCAAGAGGATTGCTTGAGTCCAAGAGTTTTAGGTTGCTGTGAACTATGATGACGTCACAGTACTCTACTGAGGGTGGCATAGTGAGAATCTGTCTCAAAAACCTTATAAAAACTATAGATTATATTTTTCTAAATAATTACCATATATAAAATCCAGTCATATAATATTTTAGAATTCAACCAAAACCCCTTTAACAGATTGTGTGTATGTGTTTTGTTTTATTTTTTGAGACAAAAGTCTCACTTTGTCCCCTTTGGTAGAGTGCTGTGTTATCATAGCTCACAGCAACCTAAAACTTTTGGGCTCAGGTGATCCTCCTGCTTCAGCCTCAGAGTAGCTGGGACTATAGGCAACTGCCACAGTGTCCAGCTAGTATTTTTTTTTTTTTTTTGAGAGACAAGGGGCAAAAGGGCATTGTCTCTTTTTCTTGCTCAGGCTAGTCTCCAACTCAGAACTTGTGAGCTCAATCTATACCTGCCTCAGCCTCCCAGAGTGCTAAGATTACAGGCATAAGCCATCACCACACCTGGCCAAAGTGGGTGGTTAAAAAGAGTTCAACAAATGATTATAAAATAAATGAATGAGAATTAATGCAACAATAACAAATGCAATAAAATCTCAGTTAGCTAAATTTACCATGTGTCAAAAATGTCATCAACTTGACAGAGTTCCACTGTGTTGCTAAAAGTACACCCTGCATTAACCACAAAGAATCTTGTGTGAGTGCCTAGAAAAACATACTGTATACAACAGATACTCACTAAATGTTAACTGAATGAATGACTTCTCTTCCCAAGCAATTAGGTGCACTAAAAAAAGAACATAAAAGAAATTCTATGTGTAACACCAAAGAAAAGCTAAGTACTAGTAGCTACACTCCTACAAAGATTCAGAGAAACAGAGAGATTCATAAGTTTTAAGTGTATCATGAAACACAAGGAAAATACCATATCTGTCCAGCCATTGCCAAATCACCATAGTTCATCCTGAGGAAAAAAGGCCTGGGAGAGGACTGAAATTAAAAGCATAGTGTGCCCCTCCTCTGAACTCTAGAATTCTGTAAGAAACAAAAAGTTTTCAGCAGAGTTTGATTTCAAGCTTAAAAGGTCTGATCTAATTAATGTTAAAACTTAAAATATGCTCTTGGGTCCAAAGCCGGGTTTGCTTTAAAGAAAAAAAAAAAAAACTGGGGGCTATTCCCTGTAATCCATTTTTGTTTTACTAACTTGGAGTTATCAAGTAAATGTGGGTAACATTTTTTTCCTCAAATTACTTCAATAACTGCATTTTTTTTAAGAGAGAGAGTCTCTTTTTGTCTCACTTTGTCACCCTGGGGAGACTGCCATAATGTCATCGTAGCTCACAGCAACATCAGTCTCTTGGGCTCAAGGGATCCTCCTGTCCCAGCCTCCAAGTATCTGGGATTACAGGCACAGACCAGAAAACCCAGCCAGTTTTTCTATTTTTAGTAGAGATGGGGAATCACTCTTGCTCCGGCTGGTCTGGAACTCCTGAGGTCAAGCAATCTACCTGCCTTGGCCTCCTGGAGTGCTAGGGTTACCAAGCCAATAATTGCATTTTTTCACTCCACCCATTGTTATGTGTTGAACTATCCCCTCTCCCCATAAAAAATCACAGGTTGAAGTCCTAACCCTAGTATCTCAGAATGTGACTTTAATTTGCAAATAAGGTTATTGCAGATGCAATTATGTAAATTAGAATGAGGTCATGCTGGAGTAAGGCAAGGCCCTAATCTAATATGACTGGTGTCCTCATAAAAGTGGGAATTTGAGCACAGAAACTGTTAGATAAATAACTCTGGGCAAGATAAATTTAATAGGGTTTATTTGAGAAAAAACAATTCACGAGCCATGCATCATTCAGAATCAGAAGAGGTTCAAAGAGTTCCATTACTACACTATCAGTAACAGCTTTTACAGAGTGAGGTGGGACCAATCAAAGAAAATATATTTGACTGGTTAGGATGGAAAGACCCTACTTAGAGGCCAGTTGGCAATTTCTAATTGGTAAAGTCTCTAGTTAGAGATTAGTTGGCCGTATCTGGTCAATGTGCTTACATAGGAACTTAACTGGAACCACTCCAGCCTAATGTCCACCCCTCCAAAATAAAATTTTAACAATATACACACAGAGTGAATGCCATGTAATACTAAAATTATGCTGCCACAAGTCAAGGAATATTAGAAGCTAGAGAGAGGCCTGGAACAGATCCTTCCCTAGTTCCTTTAGAGGAAGCATGACCCTGTCAACGCTTCGATTTCAGACCTCATAGTCTTCAGAACTGAGGTAATAAGTGTCTATTGTTTAAGCCACACCATTTGTGGTACTTTTGCAATGATAGCTCTAGGAAACTGATATACTCACATCTAAGGATTTTCTCAAGCGTGATCTTGGGGCATAAATGATTGACATGAACTACTCAAACACATACATTTTTATGAGTAATTTATGTACATAATTTAGTACTTCCAATTCTAAATTACACAGAAGATCCAAGGAAAAGAAAATGTTTTCACTACTGGTTACAAGTATTTGCAGCTAGAGAACAGAAAAGATATGAGGAAGCAAAAGCAACCGGAAGAAAGCTGGCATATGAACCCAAACAACTCATGCAAGAGACCAATTATTTAATTGTATTTCATAAAATGAAAAATGGCTCCATGGTATGTTTGAATAGTAATCTCAAATGTATAGCTTTGCAACAGAGCAATAGTGGCATCTAAAATGTAACTCAGACTCCCTCTTTTACAAATCAAGAATGAACTAAATGCTTCCATGATTTTGTATCCCTGGGCTTCTTATACAAAAAGATTTTAAGCAGGGAAGAAGAGTGAGTGGGGAGGGGAAGGGGTATATGGGAGGAGGGAAGGTATTCGGGGAGGGGGGGAGGGCCTCACCTAATGTGCACGATGCAATGGTACATTTCAAAACTATTAAGATATAAGTAATATTGTGATGGATGTGTTACTTAGGTCAATGTAAGCATTTCACATTGTATATTGAAGCAGTACCCTGAACCCCATAAATGCATCAATGTACAAAGTTATGATGTAATAAAAAACAATTTAAAAAAAAACAAAAATTCTGGAATACACCAATCAAAAAAAATATTTTAAAACATTTCCACAGAGCAAATCCAAAATTGATAAAAACTAGTAAGAAAATTCTTCGGGGAAAAAAAGATTGCATTTTACCACCAACTTTTAACCACTTCCAATGTCTAAATGAGAGAAGTAGGTCCCATTTGATTCTGACTGTGTTCCATGACTACAGCCATTTGTTTCTCTCTTCTTCTATTTGACCAGTTTGGTATAGTAGTTGTGTAAATTAATAAGCTGTGATTTATAATCCTAGCCCTAGGATTCACCCTAGCCCTTCAGAAAATTGATTTTCTTTTCCTCTCCCAACCTCAAGTCAAAACAGGTCATTTTCTGGGCACCATCTTCCAGACCATTAAAAGTGATATGCTCTAAACTGGAGCCTTCTCTCTCACCAAAAGATCTACTTCTGTGACATTGTTTGGGGCAAAAACCATTAGACTTTATTAAGGCTAAAACTGATTTCATCTCCAAATTCCAAAACAAAGACTGTAGGGGACTGTCAGTGACTGCAAAGTAATAATATTAATATTCTATTAAATAGTGGGAAGAAGCTTATATTTTGGCTATTTATATCACTATGGTATTCACTGGAATGGAATCTAGCCTTTATCACTGTAGCTAAAAAAAAAAAAACAAGACCCAAGGAAACTCAATAAATCTGAAAAGCCCTCTTGTTTTGTTACAGGATATCAATTAAAGGATTTAACTACTTTGCTTATAGTTTTTCATAATTTTTCTGGATCTAAAGAAATCATTTTAATAATCTGCACTTTATTAGTAATCTTTTTCGTAAATGTAATGCAATTGCCTGTAACACCTCTAAGAAACATTCAGAAATGCTCTCTCTGCTCCAGTTAGAAAATACCAGGGGAGTTCCAAGAATAGGAAACATCGACCAGGGTATTTAGCACTAGGTAGATAGAACTTGGCTCAGATCTGCGAAGCAAAATCAACCGCGATTTTGCTTCAAGGCCGACTGTGGTTTTGCACCCTGCTCAAGTTCAATCGGGTAATATTTTTAAAGAAATTTACAAAATAATTTAATAAGAATCATGTTCTTTATAAGAACTATTAGATTATCTTCAGGCAGCAAAACTCAAAGAGAAAGTCAAAAGCACCTTTTCAAATCTCATGTTCTGATGAATCATAATAGGGAACACAGAAGGAAAGCAGTGTGTCTCCAAGTACTGATTCAGGAGGTAGACCCCCAGGTACACATCTTGCTTGTCAGGCAGGAACACCCCTGGGCAAGAGATCTTCAAAAAAGAAAGAGAGAGAAAGCAGGGTTTGGTTTGGTTTGTTAAATGGGACTCTATTTCTCCTAAACTCCCACTGGACACTGAAATTCTCCACTCCACCCCCCATCCACGGATTCCCGCTCCTATACCTCCCAACCCAAAATGCTCCCTACTCCTCTTCTCTCCTCCCCGCCCGCACAGTGGAAATTCCAATTCCCTCCCACCTCTCCGCCAGGTGTCACAATCGCGCCCGCGCCCGCTTCTCTCCCCGCCCCTCCAGGATGGCAGTGCGGAAGCGGAAGAGGCTGCAGGGCCCCGGAGCCTCTGTGGAGTCCGGTCGGGTCCCGGGGTCGGGGCCGCCCGCCGCGATGCCGAGCCCCCGTAGGAGCGCCGAGGGAAGGCCGCTGGGCGCCTCGGCCTCGAGCAGCAGCAGCAGCCCCGGGAGCCCAGCCCATGGCGGCGGCGGCAGGTTCGAGTTCCAGTCCCTGCTCAGCAGCCGCGCTCCGGGCGCGGACCTCACCTGTGCCCGGCTGCGCGCGTCCGAGAGCCCCGTGCACCGCCGCGGCTCCTTCCCGCTGGCCGCGGCCGGCCCCTCGCAGGCGCCCCCGCCCCCACTGCCCGAGGAGGACCGCATGGACCTGAACCCGTCCTTCTTGGGCATCGCCCTGCGCTCCCTACTAGCCATCGACCTGTGGCTGTCCAAGAAGCTGGGGGTGTGCGCTGGGGAGAGCTCGTCTTGGGGCAGCGTGCGGCCCCTTATGAAACTGCTGGAGATCTCGGGACACGGCATCCCCTGGCTACTGGGCACCTTCTACTGCCTGTCCAGGAGCGACAGCTGGGCCGGGCGCGAGGTACTGATGAACCTGCTCTTCTCCCTGATGTTGGACCTGCTGCTCGTGGCCCTGATTAAAGGGCTGGTCCGCAGGCGCCGCCCGGCGCATAACCAGATGGATATGTTTTTCACTCTCTCGGTGGACAAGTACTCCTTCCCTTCGGGCCATGCCACGAGAGCCGCCCTGGTGTCGAGGTTCATCCTGAACCACCTGGTGCTGGCCATTCCGCTGAGGGTGCTGGTGGTGCTGTGGGCCTTCGTCTTGGGCCTCTCCAGGGTCATGCTGGGGCGACACAATGTCACCGACGTGGCTTTTGGCTTTTTTCTGGGCTACATGCAGTACAGCCTCGTGAACTATTACTGGCTCTCACCCCACAATGCTCCCATCCTCTTTGTACTGTGGAATCAGCAATGACCCCATCTCACTGATTATGGCACCAGGAGGTCTAACGATTTTGATGATGCCAACCTAAATCAGCCATCCTGCTTGCCCCCCTTAAGACATTTCAGGCTTCTTTTGGGATTTCAGGTGTCCCACCGCCTTGATGTGTTGCTAGGCTGAAGCACGTGCTGGCCATTACTGAACACAGCCATATTAGGGAAAGAAAAAAAAAATCCCTCTATTGTATATTTATTCAGCAACTGCTTATATCTCCAGGACAACTGCAAAGAAACCAAACTGAGGTGGTTATACTGTTGCTGTTTTTCAAAAGTTGACATTAATAAGATTTGTGTTTTGTAGGAATCCCCTAAATCAACATATCACTTGTAATTTGAACTTTGAGAAAGCAACATATCTTCATTCTGTAAATACACATGCAGGGAAACCATGTACCAATCCTAGTCCTTTTCCTGAGATAGATTTTAAACAGTATTTTAAAAGTCTAACACATAGGTTTTTCTAGTTTATTCCCTGAAGATCTGTTGCCACAGTTGGGGAGATCTCTTCTTAATCCTGATTTTCTTGGTAAGTTTTTTTACTTTATTATCACTTCCATTTTTGTGGATTGGGTAGTGACAAAGAGGTGATAGCACTGTCTTTCTCTCCCTCTACTCCTCAAAAGGTCTTTAAAAAGCTATTTCCCACTACATTTTTAGCATTCAGAGAATAAACCAAGACCTTAAAAAAGTGGGTGTATCTAAGGGCCCAGAAAAAAGGAAAAATGAGACTATAGCCTCATGTGTAATTCTGTTGACAACTAATTACGTAGCATAACAGGGGACAAAGAAGTCACTGGGAAGAAGTTAGAGAAACTAAACTTTGGGGAGTAGACTGACCACGTATTATACCAATGACCCACATGGCAGGAGAGAAGGCCCTACGACCAGTCATGCCTACTGAATAGAGAATAATGTTCCTCTATAAGGGTAATAAATGGGAAAATAACATGTCTTCTTAATGCAAAAGCATAGGCTTGCTCATACACCACAAGAATGACCCTGTTTACTATCATTTTTCCCGTGAAATTCCATTTTCCTATATACAGCACATCTTAGTTAACTGTATTTAACTTGAAATTCACCAGGGGAGCCTACCACAGTATCAGGCACAAGGAAGGCATAAGTCCTAAATTTCTGTTTACATTGAATTTTACATTTAAAGCTGTTCATTCATGGTGCCTCCAAAATCATAAGACCAAAGACCCCTAGTCACAAGGTGGATTATGCTCATTATTCTTGGGCCCAGACATACGGAAGAGGGTATATGTTTAAACGCTGCTCTATCTGACTAGAAAACCTTTAAATTACCTATGGAAGTGTTGTTTTCAGGTAATCTTAATGGCTGATTATTTTGGCATTTGTAATTAGAAAAATTATATACTTTGACATACAGAGGTACAGGTAGGAACCTAGACAATAGTCTGTGATAAGTAGATTCTGATTGGACGGAAACAGGAACTTTCTGAGAGTGAGGGGCACACTAAAAAGGGAACAGCTACTCCTCAATTAAAATCATATATTCCCACAACACCCTGAATACTTACTACCTCTTCACTTGCTAACTCAGCCAAACTGTAAAACTTTTAAGTGGTTTGGGTCTGTTGTTTAAACTTAGAGAGATCCTTTATTTTAACTGCAGCAGTATTCAGGCCAGATACTTGGAAGCAATGATATTTCCTCTTGGAGTGTCCACAGTCCAAATATCGGTGGCTTGACATTCGGCTTACCTTGTGGTTTGTAGTTATACTTTTGGAATTCCCTGTTTTACTTGCTGGGGCCTGAGTTTGCTGGCTTTTGAAGATCAATTCACCTGATTATTTTGGAGCTTCCAAAGTACTGTAGAATAGAAAACTGATTTCGTTGTTCATGAATTGTACACTGAAGAATGCCTTTAAAAATCATAATAAAATTAACCAGTAATGTTAAATGAAGTGAGAAGAAAACTTGTTTAATTTTTGCCTTGAGCAGGACTACTGATTGATTACTTAGCTTCTCCAAGTTTCCTTCATCTTACTGCACAGTTTTGAAAGCTTGAACGTGACATAGCACAGTTGATACGTCTGGCCCTGCTTGCTGTCAGCAAAGTAGGACAAAGCCAGGAAATGTTGATCCGCTTTGTTTCACAGCCACATATACGTTGCAATCACATTTGCCAACTGTATGGAGGCTAACAAGATTCTCTGGTGGTGTCCTTTTAGCATTGTGCTTGTAATCGTGACCAGTTAGAGAAGCCTCTGGTAGCTAGGAGGCAAAGCTGCATCTGTCACTACAGATCCAAGGACTGGAAAGTGGAAGCTAAAATAAAAGCAATGACTGACCCTCCAAATAGAAACAATGGAGTCACTCTTTTACCTTAGTACCTTAGCTAGGAAGGATGTGATGACTAATTACAAAACATTTGTTAATTGATTGACTTCCCACTTGGATTTAGCAAGCTAGAGCCATCAGTGGAGGAAATATAATAGCTTAGAAAATATTTGATTGGTTCATAGAGGTGGCAAATTATCAGGAAGTGATGGAGCATTTTAGAATTCACTTATTCCCTCGTCAGTTAAAGGCAAAGTTTTAAAAAGCCTTTTGCCAATCTTTATCCAGGAAAAGAAAAGCCCATTTGGATTTAATGTAGGGTTTTAAAAGAAAGGAAAAACTCAGGATAAAGCTAAGAAACAAATTAGCTTTAGAAGATAAAAAAAAAAAAAAACCTTAGGGACAGAAGTATGATTTGTCCCAAAAGATGATGTGTGTGCGGTAAGTAGGGGAGGGGTGATGAAAATCACCCAGGAGTCTGTCTTGGGGTTAAGGAGCAGGTTCGTAGATCTCTTACCGCCCGGATCTGCAGCTCCACCACCACCTCCAGAGGCATCGTTCCCTGTGTGGGCGAAACGACTGGAATGAAAAGATCAGTTTGTGCCGAGCTTTGGACCGATTTTTCTTAGTTTAGCTCAATCCCTGGGGCAAATGTTCCCAGAAGCTGCCCCAGCCCCCCACCCTTTCGGTCCCCCATCCGTCCCCCTCCCAGCCCCGGTGCCTTCCAGGGACAGGTCTCTCACTACCAGAGCTGCAGGGTAGGCTTCCAGAAGGCGGAAGCGGGGAGTTGCCATGGACACTCAAAGCGCAACCTTCCACCCTGGAACGTACGAGGGCCGCGCAGGCGCGCGTCCCCTGGGGACGCGGGCAGGTGTCCGCTTCCTCTCCCGCGGTGTCCTGGCCAGACACGCTGACCTGGTACTCGATGTAGTAGCCGGATTCGGAGATGCTAAGGATACTAGTTTTCTCTCCATCAGGTTTCTTTATCCACACTCACTGTGTTAAAATGTTTAGTTTCTGTGCTAAACATGGAATGAGACCAGAGCTGTTATAATTTAAGCACTCCGCATTTTTAGTAGCTACATGACTCCCAAGCCCTAGAATTTCTTAACAATTCTAATCTGATATAGTTGCCTGTCCCTAAAGGTATCTTTTTGCTTATTAAATATGTTCTCAAGTTTGGTTTGGAAAACATGGCCAACCATCAATAACAAGAAATCAAGCTGTGTGAATTAGAAATTCAGGGATGATTCTTAAACAGATTTAAAAGGTATCCCGTGTTAGCTGCAATAGAAATAGAAGTCATTCTCTGTCTTCATGGCATTGCCCAGCCTTTTCTGGGGTTTAGTTTATTTAAAGCAAGCACTGAATTGCATTATCTACCAATGGGTAGTTACTGTGTTTGCCAAAGCCACGGTTAACACTGTAAAAACAATCAGAGGTGGTAAGCAGAGGCAGGAGTTCTCAGCCAATAGGGGAAATGGCATTTCTTCCATTCACTATATTTGACAGACAAAAATGAAGGAAAGAAGCAGGGAGTGGCCGCTTTTAGCAATCCAAAAAATCTGAGAGGGCCAATGCTATCTTCCCCCCAAAAAAGAAAGCCTAAATTGTCTTCATTTATTACTAGTATTTTGCATTGGAAATACTGCAGAAAGATGGCTGGAGTCAAAATTAGGTATTGATTTTGGTAACTAGAGTTCCTTTTCCTGGAAGGACAAAAGCTCAGTATGATGCAGAAGCAGATTAAAAATAAGAAGGGTACTGTATCTAATTCTTATTGCTCTGTCTCTCTGTACCCTAAGAGACAGAGAAGTGGGTACTTGGCTCCCTGTTGTGTCCAAATCACTGATTTGTCACCCCATAACAACTCATTAGCACCCCAAATGATGTAGGATGGACCTGTGAAGATTCTCATAGGTAAGCCACAGCACCAGTCCTAAGACATCAAAGAGAGTGAAACCAAAGCTGGTTAAATAGGTAGCCAAAGGTATAATGGAAGGAAGGAATTAATCTTTATGAGCATCTGCAAGGTATTAGGCATGTAGCATATGTCAATTCATTTCATCCCACAGTAACTCTTTGAGGGAGACACTACTATATCCCTATTTACAGGTGAAGAATTTGAAATCAGAATCTGAAGCCAGACAAAGGCTGTGCAAATAATAAGGGGGCAGCCATGTTTGAATCCAGGGACACTGCTCCATCACTGGGCCTACAACACAGACATCTGGTTGATCCCTGGAGACACAGTTCCATCCAGTGTTCTTCCCAGTCTTAACTCTTGATACAACTGGACTTTCCTTGCTTAGCTTCTAGAGCACAACCCTCTTCTGATTTCTCTTCAACTTTCTGGCCATTCTATTTATCCCCCTTAATCTGCTAAGCAATATTTCTAGTCCTTTTCCTTTCCTAATTCTATATACCCTTTACTTGAAGTATCATCCAGTATAGGTATTGATTAACATATGTTAATTAACACAGATGTACATATCCCACCTAGCCCTCTCTTCTAGTCCCCAACAAGATGGAATCTTACTATTATAAATACATGTATCTTCCCTTTGTAGTAGCTACCACAATAGCAGCTTTACATTTGATCCTGTAATTCATGAATACTGTCTATTAACTCTGCACGGCTAACTGTATCCTAAATACCTAATATAGAAGATACTCAGTAAACATCTTTGAATAGATATTAAATGCAGAAATGGTCAAGCCAGTCTGTAGGGCTTAATGTACAAAGGTAATGGGAGGTCCCACCATATCAGGACAAACTAAATATGCAGAATAAGAAAGGACCAAGCACAGCAATTAATACTTCTGCTACTCTGCCATGGGGATATTAAATGAGTTGATAAGGAATAATCACACTCTGTTAATTTCTCACTCCATGGTCACCTGAGGCTGCCAGCTGCCACAGAGATGTGGAAGTTGCTACATACACAGTGTCTCACCCATCTTGCAAAGTAATAAATCACTGAGGCTGCCACCTTGGCAGGAGGCCGATAAAGATATTTAAGGGTTGGAATCTCCACTTGGAAATACTGACATGGGTAAGAGGGGGGGTGGATGATGAGAGGTTGCTTGGTGGGTACAATGTGTGCTACTCCAGTGACGGATGCATGGGAAGGCTCTGATTTCACCATAATGCAATCTATCAGTATCGCAAAACTGCACTTCTACTCCATGAATATATGCCAAAAAACGTTTTTTATGAAGAGAGAATGGCTTTATTTGCTGGGTAGGTACCTGTTGGTGGCAGCAAGCAGATTCCAAAGAACAACCTCTCCAGAGTGTTTCTGCAGTGCAGCTTGGTCAGCAGTGGCATCAGCACTGCAGGAATGACACATCAGCACAGGCTGTTTACCTCCTGGTCCCTGACAAGGAAGTGAAACAGCCCAAATGGGAATTTTCCAAAGAATAAATTAGCAAAACACAAGACTATCTCAATCAGATAATTATGGCTGAGATGTTTTCCTTTTAGCTAAAAAAATTATTATAAGACACAAAATTAGAGCTGGCCATGGTGCACACCTGAAGCTACCCAGAAGGCTGAGGTGAGAGCATCTCCTCAGTCCAGGAGTTACCAGGTTGGCTTATGTATCAAATGCCTCAGAAAAATAAATAAATAAAAAGACAATATCATAAACATTTCCTTATAAATAACAGGAGTATTCATCTGAAGAAACATTTTTATTTATTATTTATTTATCTGTTTTTGAGACAGAATTTCACTTTGTCATCCTTGGTAGACTGCTGTGGCATCATAGCTCACAGCAACCTCCAACTCCTACACTCAAGTGATTCTCTTGCCTCATCCTCCTGAGTACCTGATAGGCGCCCTCCACAGTGCCGGGGTATTTTTAAAGATGGGATCTTGCTCTTGCTAAGGGTTGTCTTGCTCAGGGTGGTCTTGCACTTCCAAGCTCAGTCGATCCACCTGCCTTGGCCTCCTAGAGTACTGGGATTACAGGCATGAGCCACCGCATCCGGCCCTAAGAAACATTTTTAAACAGGTGCTATAGGGGGTGTGGGGGAGCAACACACACATTGTTGGTGGGTATGCAAATACATATAACATATTAGGTTTTGATGGCTAATGTAACAAATTACCACAAATTTAAGGGCTTAAAAGCAGAAAAAAATTATCTGACAATTTTGTGGCTCAGAAGACAACACAGCTCACTGGGCTGAAATCGAGGTGCCAGCAGGACTGCCTTTTCCATTTCCTAGCATTTGCAGGGGCTACCTGCACCCCTTGGCTCAAACTCCCTTCTTCTTTCTTCAAAGCCAGCAACAGAGTTTCTGGCCAAGAGTTTCTCACACTGCCATCTCTCCAGTTCTCTCTTCCACTGCTAAGGACCTTTGTGATTACATTGAGACCACCTAGCTAATCTAGGATAATTTCCCTATTTTAAGATCAGCTGATTAGAAACTTCAGTTCCATCTGCAACCGTATATTCTCCTTTACTATGTATATTTACAGGTTCCAAGGATTAGGAGGTGAGCTTCTTTGGGGGTCATTATTCTGCCTACCACATATAACTTCTTTGGAAAGCAATTTGATAATGTCTATCAAAATGTTTAATTTGGCTCAGCAATTCCACTGCCAGGAATTTATCCCATGAGTATACTTTCACAAAATCACATTATGCACCATTATTTGTACTTTAAAAACATGGCAAGCCTATTAAATGTTCATTAAATACAGGTGAGCATGGTGGTTTACACCTGTAATCCCAGCACTTTGAGAAGCCAAGGTGGGAAGATCATTTGAGGTCAGCAGTTCAAGGTCAACCTGGGCAACACAGTGAGACCCTGTCTCTTAAAAAAAAAAAAATTAGCTAGGCATGGTGGCATGTGCCTGTTGTCCTAGCTACTGAGGAGGCTGAGGCAAGAGTATCACTTGAGCCTAGGAGTTTGAGGTTACCCTGAGCTATATGATCACACCATTGCATTCCTGCCTGGCAACGGAGTACGACCTCATCTCTTTAAAAAAAGTTCAATTCATATGGTCAGATTAAATCAATTATGGTTTAGCATACGATGGGATATTATAAAGCATGGGAAAAGAATGAGGCAGAGCCATAAGTCCTAATAGTAAATAACTTCTAAAATACAGAGCTAAGAAACAAAAAGCATGGTGCAAAAGATGTGTAAAGTATGCTGCCATTTGGGAGAGGAGGAGAATATTACATGTACGCATATACTCAGAATATTACTGAAGGGATACACTAGGAACTGCTCATGATGCAACTGGGGTAGAGAGGAAGGAATCTTATTTTTCCTTGAATGTCTTTAGGTATCTTAAAAATGTATGTTCTTACCAAGTACTTGCATTATCTAGTCCAAAAAGGAAAACAAATTAAAACAAGTAGAAAACATAGAACAATAGGAAGGAGAAATCTGAGAACATGGGAAGGAGCAGCTTTGGGTGCTATATCCTATGTACTGCAAACCATAAAAATATCCATGCAAGTTTTCTGCCACTTCTGCTTCTACTGCAATGTTTCTTATCCTGTAATCCCTGGTTATCTTGGTCCCGAATCCCCTGAAATGATAGGCAACCTTTCCTGCCTGTGCATATGTGTGTTTTTATGGGAAGAAAGCCTGAAGCTTTTATCAGAGTCTGTAAGGGGAAAAGTTAGTCCAACCAGGTTTTAGAGTACTGTTCAGCATGCTGAGCTCTCTATCCTGCTATCAGTTCTCTGCCTACAGCAAAAAGAAGGGCCACTTAGGTTATCTGACAAGGTG